GAAAGGAAAAATTGAAATCGCATCATATGACCCCTTTAATATTAATCCTAAAATGTGTTTAAATGTCACTACTGATGAGGATTGTATGATCTTTGAATAATATTGGTCTTTAATTGCAAGCTATGTAAAGTGTACCTGAAGTATACTTGCTTTAGTTCCACTTTAGCACAATCAAATATACTTCAGTATATCTTTAGTTGGACTTCAGCACAACTTCCGCACAATTAAAGTACAAAATTAGTTATTCCAATTTAGCAGTTAATGTATACCAGTATACTAAAAGTACAATTTCAGGTTATTTTATTAAGTACATAAATATGTAAATGTATATGTAGCATACTTAGCACAAAACAAATGTATTTCAAATTCATTTTAGTATATTTATTTTCCACTAGGGAACTCCAAACTTTTATACGGTACTGTATATATCCCAGGTATTTCTATATTTTATTAGTCTAGTATTTCAAAACGTAAACCTCTTTGAGTAGCAGATTTCAGCCTTACATTTTCTATGGTGAAGACAAGTAAAGAAATCATTGTGAAAGCAGCAATTATCAGCGCTTGAAGGATGTGCAATGAAAATGACCAAACGGTTGAAAGTATTTATCTTTCTTTATAACGTGCATTCATCTTGTTGTACTAACAGCAGAAACTGCGGCGACACTGGCAAGCATCAATCTCAATGTCAATTCGGCATTTAAAAAGCCATTTTAGGAGCATTTTTCCTCTTCCTTGCATTGGTGGCCCTCCCTCGGCACCATAAATATTAATCAGATGCAGTATAAAGCTGGAGAATAAGAATCCAACAGGCAATATAAAAACTTTTTTTATGCTTTGCACTAGCTGACATGGGAAGACGGGATCCAGCGCAGTAGAAAAATAACAGCCATATTCATATCCCCCACATTTGACAGGGGAAAAGCTGTTGGGTAATTTCACTTTTTTCCAATGTCCAATGCCTCCGAAGCTCTGATCCGACTGTTTCTTTACTGTCTACTTTTGGATTTAGTGGAAATCACTGGAGGTCTAGCGCCGCTACAAACTGACATCTGCAGGAGCTTGAAGTCAATAATCTCTTTGCGTTTAGCCTAGAGGTATGTATTATTCTCACCACTATGGGAAAGAGACATTTCCAAACAGCTTTTTCCAACAACCACAAATGAAACACCACAGTAGAAGAGTCCCAGACCTCCTCCAGACAGGAATGCACTCACAAACGCCTGCTTCAAAAGAAGACCAGTGTCCGCTGCTCTGTTCTACACGTCTCATGGGAAGTCATATAGTGGCTACGGTGCACAATGCTAAGATTGGTGTTGTGCACATTGATTCAATAGTAGTTGGTGATGAATACCGTCCTGTGGTGGATTTCACCTGGAGTCTGCCCTTTCCTAAATTGATCCATTTGTCCCATTTAAACACAGCTGAACAAGCTTTTTTTTTTTTTTGGTAAAGGTTAAGACCCCAGGTATTAGGATAGGCAACATACTGCATAAGCAGGATGTACAATCATGGTAAATGTCCTGAGATTTTAATGTATAACGCTTTTCTCAATAACTCAACATCTAATAAATAAACCAGTTAGCATCCCATACAAAAACAACCATGGTTTCCTCCAAAACATAGTTTGTTAAAACATTAAAACTGTGGTGCCAAAACTAGCATAACAAAAACATACTGCCAGCTACTTACACTATTTAAAGACATTTTTAATGATTTTACAATAGTAACAAGTAGATTTTGACATTTTCTGAACATAATGTGAGTGGTATTTGCCAAATCTTGCCACCATGATTCTATTAAGTTTAAGATTTTTTGCCTGTTTTATTATCCAACAAGTAAAAATCATAGATTTGATCAGTTAGGCGTCCAATACTATAGTGCTAAAATGTCTGGGGTTAGTAAAGTTATTTTATTTTATTTTAAATTGTATTTTATTTTATTGGGAAAGAGAGTCTTACTTCATCAAGGCTGCATTTATTTATTCAAAAATAGAACAAAAATGGCAAAATATATGGTAAATATAGCTGTTATCTATTTGAAATATATTTTACACTTTATTTATTTATTTTCTCTAACTGCAACGCATTTTTAGCAGCCATTGCTTTTTTTAATTTATTTTTTATTTTTTACATTTCCTGAAATTTTGAAGAACAACAGTTATTTGAAATAGAAACATTCTGCAAAATTATAAGTTTTATTGTCTAGAATAGATTGCCTTTTTTTAACAATTTAATGCATCCTTGCTAAACAGAAGTATCAATTTATTTAAAATCTTACTGACATCAAACATTTGAAAGGTAGCATAATTTTAGTAAACACCACTAAGGCCCAATCCCAATTCTACCCCTTAGCCCTTCCCCTTTCCCCTACCCCTCCGTTTCGCGCGTTCACGTGAAGGGGTAGGGGTGTCTTGATTCTCTTTTGGTTGGAGGGGTAGGGGTAGAGGGAAGGGGAAGGGCTAGATAGCCCTTTAAACGAAGATTTTTCGGGAGCACACTTCAAACGAAGGGGTATGAATTATCTCAGCGTAAACCGGCTTCAGCGGCAACATGGCTGCCCGAGAGAACAAAAAGACACAAATGTAAGCATTTTTTGGCATTAATAAAGATTTTAACGAGCGATAACCACCGTAGACATTGAGGGGGGCTAGTCCCCCCAATAATTAGAAATCGCTAAACCCTTCAAATATTGCCAATTCGAGAGCGAGAGAGAGATGAAAGTTGCGTGTATGCGCGTCTGTGCGTATCTCTTTTTAGAGTGAGTTTACTTCAAAAACAACGATTATATCCTCTTGTTGCTGGAAAATATAACGTAGTGATTCAGTATTTAAACTGTTATTAATAAAAGTCGTGGGGCAGCGTTGACAAGTTTCTTTGCTCCTGGATGTGTGAGCTGCGTTCCTGTCCGGGACGACATCTGTATATCTGTGCAAAAGAGCCTGGCTCTCTTTCAGCAGCTCCTCCCAGCCTTTTGATTAAACAGTTAAGGACACAATTAAAAAGGAAGACAGCCTGCGTTTTCTTTTATACATCAGCCACGTGTCCAAAGGGGTAAAAGCAAGCGAGTTAGACAGAACTGACCGATTTACCCTCACACCTTTCATTGCAATGTCTTAGAAACTGATATGACTACAGAATCGGGCATAGTTTGCAGAGACTAGCAGTTGTTTCCAGAGCACAAATGCTACAGGCTAGTTCACTTCACTCTGCTAAACCTAGAGATACAGTCAGTTCTCGCCCACCGAGTGTCAGGCACTGTAACAGCCCCTGATTCGGCTGTGAAGGATACGCTGCTCCGACTGAAGCTGCTCCAGGTGAGGGATGGCGTCTCTTAAGGACGTCCATGCCGTCTTCTCTCCAGCCAGCATGTCACAGTCCTGTTCACAAAATAATCTCACATGAATTAATTTGACTATTATTATAATTTTTTTTAAACCAACAGAAGCCATAGCAAAAGTAACATAACACTTTTTTGACCTAATTTATTGATTTACCTGATAAATAAACAATACATGTACTATTTATATTTAAATTTAATTAAAAATTAAAAATTTAAACTTTTAAATATTTTTAATTAAAAAAAATCATAATTTCTAGTTTTATTTAATACATTTTTAATTTGACAATAAACATCTAAATAAAATAAATACAATTTCTGTAGAAATGAACTCTTCAAATCTGCCTATATTCAGTTTGTGTTGGAAGGTGAAGGTTTAAATGAAAGATGCCCATTTTCTCATTATTAGAATGTTTTCACCTAAAGCTTTCGGCTCTGTGATTGGTGGACCAGCTATGAAATTACCAAGGGCCAAACAATAGTAAGTCAATGGGAGAGAAATTTCAAATGACAGGAAAGTTGACCAATCATATCTTTCCTTTAAATGGGTGGGCTTTGTTGTCACTAACTTTATAACAAGTTTCGCCCACTGTGGGGAACTTTATAAAAAAAAAAAAAAAAATCATAAATGTATTTATTGGTATCAACTGTAATTATATTTGTTTATTTATATAAATACATGTATCTAATTTAAAAGAAAAATCACCATATAAATTAACAGCAAAAATGACATAAAACTAAGCACAAATCAAAAGTTTTTACACCCTTATTATGTGTGAATAAGTAACATATTTATTATATAAATTCATAATACATTTATATTTATTTTTTTAAAATTTATTTATATTAGGAAATTTATTTATATTTAATATTTATAATTATTTATTTAAAAATTTGTTTGAATATTATGTACAGTATGTATGTATTTATATGTTTATTGTATTATATTAAAATGCATTTATATTTATACATATATCTTAGATATGTTATTTTTTTATTATCAAAAAAAACCAGTAGATTACAAAAGATTGTCAGTAGAAGACAAAGATTAATTAATTGTCAAAGTTAATCAAAATTTGCCATTTAAAGAAGAATTTATTTTTTTATTTAT